TTGTGCAGCAGATTTGCCTAATGCAATACATCGTCTGATTTCTTGACTGCTGCTTCTGTGAGTTTTGATAGTTGATCCATGAAGAACGAAGTCCTTGACAACTTCAATCTTTTCTCCATTGATAAGAATATTGTTTATTGGTCCAGTGGTGAGGATTTTTGTTTTCTTTACATTGAGATGTAATCCATACTGAAGGCTGTGTGCTGTTTGATCTTCACCAGTAAATGTTTTAAGTCCTCTTCACTTTCAGCAATCAAGGTTGTATCATCTGTGTATCGCAGGTTGTTAATAAGTCGTTCTCCAATCCTGATGCCACGCTTTTCTTCATATAACCCAGCTTCTCGGATTAGTTGTTCAGCATACAAGTTGAATAAATATGGTGAAAGAATACAGCCTTGTTGCACAACTTCCTTAATTTTAAACCTTTCAGTGTTTCCATGTTCTGTTCAAACAAATGCCTCTTGGTCCACGTACAGATTCCTCATGAGCACAATTAAGTGTTCTGGAATACTCATACTTTGCGATGTTGTCCATATATTGTCATGATCCACACAACTGAAAGCCTTTTCAGTACCCGTTATTTAAAAAACAGTCTTTATTCCTGGGTCGGGGGTGGGGGGTAGGGGGCTCGAAGAGAGAGCAGAAGAAAAGAAGACTGGGGTGTGTTGAGCTGTATTTATAACTATTTTAGAAGTCTGAAAGATTGAGAGTGGTCTGGAGCAAATCCACTGAATGATTTCCCCATCGGTGCCCTCAGTAATGCAGTTTGATCCTCTTTGGCTTTATTTAGGTCAACATCAGCAGCCAGGAGCTATGGGAGGAAATGCTCAGTTCCAAAGGACTAACTGGTAATCTAAGATAATTTTTCTGACTCATTCTTTTCAAATTTGTTAAATGACATGTTGAACCATGAAGAGAAGGGCTGTAATGAGCACCAGTTTCGTAGATCTGTAAGTGTTCCTATAACCTTAAGAATAGTGAACCCAATGATTTCTTCTGATATGTATGTGTGGGGTCAAAACAAGGTTCCCTTGTTTTGGAGCAAGTTGTCAGAGATTGTTTAGTATTAAGTAAGCAAAACCTCTCTTAATTGCCTCAGGCACAAAAGGGGGATGTGTTGGAGGAAGTACTTGGATGTCTTGGAACCCAATGGAAGGAGAGCCACGCATCACAAGAGACTAGAACCAGGAACTGCACAGCCCTGAGCATTGTCCAGTGGCCTCCACATCCCTGTCTTCCTTGTGTTTGTTTTCTATTGCTGTGTAACAGTTTATCCAAAACTTAGTGGCTTAAAACAGCAAACATTTGTTGTCCCACAGGAATTTGTTGTGGATCAGGAATTCAAGTGTAGATAGTTAGGTGCCCCTGGCTTAGGTTCACCTAGGGACAGATCTGCTTCCAAGCTCATTGACGTGGCTGTCGGCTGGCCTCAAAAGAGCTACTTCCAATTTCACTCACGTGGCTGTTGGCAGGCTTCAAGTCCTCACTGGCTATTGGTCAAAGACATGAATTCCCACCATCAGTTTCTCCATAAGACCATTCACAGCATGGCAGCTAGCTTCCCCCAGAGGAAAGGGTGAGAGAGAGGGAGACAGGGGCACGGAAGTCATAGTCTTTTTGTAACTCAATCTCGAAAATGACTTCTCATTCCTTTTGCTGTATTCTGATCATTAGAAGTCAATCACAAGGTCCAGTCCAAATTCAAGATTACACAAAGGCATGAATCCCAGGAGGTGGGAATCTCTGAGAAGGTGGCAGACAACTTAGAGGCTGCCTATGATACCCCTTCCCTCCTGTTTCTCTTTTGCATTTATGCTAGACATCTCTGGACCTGTTTCTCTGTGGTTTTGCTCAATTATTCTCTGTCTACACACCTACGTAGTCTGCCTGTATCTTCTTTTATCTATCCTGATTGTCACCTCCCCACTAAATGCCTTCAGCATTCAAGTCCCCCATCCCCTGCCATGTTTTTACAGCCCCTTTAACCACTATTGCCTGTGCTGTGTTCTGAGCTGGAGCCAATTTCCTGAACGTGCTACATGTTTCCTCAGTTCCTCACACTACCTGGATCTCACAACCCCCTCACGGCCTGGAAAAATCTTTATTCCCAGCCTCAGCTCAGAAGCAGCTCCCTGCTTCTGTGTGCTTACTTTCCCTTGAGAGCTTCTTGGGAATTTGGTGTGGGACTCTTACCTCAAACCCTTTAACACACCCTGAGTGGCAAAGCCCCTGTCTGGGTAAGCACTATCAGGGCTTCCCCCCTAGACTATCTACACAGGGGTGTTGACTTTTTCATCTCACTTCTTTAGTGTACTTGCCCAGGCCTAGGGCCCGGTAGCACTAAATAAATTAATCAGTTGTTTGTGTGAGTGTGAGCTTTGCCACATTCTACTATGTGAAGGATTCCAAAGCTTTTTGGATGTGCCAAGTCTTAACTGTTTTTTGTTTTATTTTGTTTTTAATGTGTCTTAAACTGCAAGGTGGTAGTTCATATCACACCAGCCGCTCCTTGGAAACCCTGTACAGGGCTGCTGTGAGTAGGAACCAATTCAATGGCAACTTAACAACAACAACGTCTGTGCAACTAGAACACAAACTATTTCTTCCGTTTCCTTGACAACAGTAGTAAAGCCATCATTTCTTGAGAATGTGCTATGTGCCAGCCACCCTGCTAAGCATCCTTCCACCGGAGGTCTCTGCCAAGCCCTGCCCTAAGCACTTCCAGGGCCTTTGCTGACTGACTTAAGGCATCAGGGGCTCCTTCTCCAACCAGGCAATTTCTTGGATAAGGAATGTATCCTGTTCCCTCTCTTCAGAGCCAGCAGAAATTTTTCTGTCAAAACCACCCACCTTCTGCTGCCCCATTTTCATCTGCCTTCAAGAAGCAAAAGTCTTTTCAGATTTATACACACACACACACCTTGCCTCTGCCATTGCCCCTACCTCACTCCCTCATAGCCTTGTGGAGTGTGCCTTTGTCCCAACACTCAGAGTCAGAGTGTCTAAAAGGGATGGGAAGCTGGGATGAATGATTAATGCAAATCCAGCATGATTATTTTTTACCTAATTGGCTCCCATTTTTACAGTGAGTAGGCCTATGTACAGGGCTCTCTAAGTCTCCAGGGAGATTATGGT